GTAAATTTAGTACACACACACATTATGCTAGACCTAGGAGACCTAGGAAAGGCTTGGTTGTTGCCTTCGTAGTCGGACCCTCTACAACACCAGTTGTACAACGCGTGTACTTGTAGGTACAACACTTCACATAATACACCCACAGTCAGTACAACAACTGTTATTCTTGGACGACAGTCTGGAACAGATAATATAGGAAGCCGTTTGAAAATGAGGGAAAGATGGGAAGGCCGATGAAGCTTCCTTCCTTCCCTCCCTCCCGCCTTGGTTAAAGGATGGTTTCATGTGTAATGACCAAACCACACGTCAGCCAGGGAAGAAACGACGACGTTTCGGTCCGTCCCGGACCATTATCAAGTGGTGTGTCACACCTTCAGCCACGTTATTGTGACTCGTCGTCTACATGTGGTTCAGGGGAGAGTTGACCAATAGTTCAATACCTCTCAATACTTCCCTGAGAGTGACTATGGGGAAGTGAGGTCTAGTGCTTCACCTTCCTCCCGATAGTCACCACATTTAGTCAAGCAAGTCCTGGGTTTGTGTACGATGGTTTCCCGTGTATAATGGAGGATCATTAAACGGAAGGAGGTAAAAACAGCGAGCGAGATGAAGGACGCGAGTGTTGAGCGTGGCGCTGTCATTGTTGCTGAATCACTGATGGCGGGATGGTTGTGAGGACCCCTGGTCGAGGACCCCTGGTCGAGGACCCGTGGTTGAGGGCCAGGCGGGCTAGTTGAGGACCCTTGGTTGAGGACCCCTGGGTGTGGACCACTGGTTGAGGCAAGATAATCACCTGTGGTACACCACACCTCGTACTGGTCCCCCCAGGGTCTGTGGCTGGTGTCCAAGGCTGTTGGCTGCAGGATCTTCCTCCTGACTGCTGCCGGCGGCTGCTGTGCTCCTTGCTGTTCATAGCATGAAGATCAATACTGTAAAGGCCTGTTGGGCCTGCGGGCCACTGCAAGCAACAGCCTGTTAGACCAAGTTACGACAAGTCGAGTCAAGCCCCAGGCCAGGCTCAGGGAGTAGTAGAACTCCCGAAACTCTCTCCAGGTATGTTCCAGGTCCATGTTAGGGAAGTCACATATATCCACCCAAATTCATTCAACAACCCTGCTTCCAAACCAATATTTATCCAGGTCTTTCCTGGATTAAAATATCTCCAATAACTGTAAATGGATTAAGGTAGATGGGTGTTATGTAGGCAGTGGGGGGTGGGGGGCGGATAAAGCGGTGGGGAGTAGGTGGGCAATAGTGGGTGGAGCAGCAGGTGGCGGGGAAAGTGGTGCTTACCTATTAATACCCTTCCTACCAGCCTTGTTGTACATGTTGCAGTATAACTTAACTAGTCTTGACGGTCGAATTATACATGTCGAATCTGGTCTTAAAGTTGTGGATGGTGGATGTGGCTTCTACAACTTCTTCCCTCGGTGCATTCCACCTGGTGACCACCCTGACAGGGTACCAACATTCCACCTGGTGACCACCCTGACAGGGTACCAATATTCCACCTGGTGACCACCCTGACAGGGTACCAACATTCCACCTGGTGACCACCCTGACAGGGTACCAACATTCCACCTGGTGACCACCCTGACAGGGTACCAATATTTCCTTACATTCCTTCGGCTTATTTGCGTTTCCAGCTTCCACCTGTGTCCTCTTGTCCAACTTTTTTCTCAATGTGAAGAGGCAATCCTTGTCCACCTTATCCATTTCTCTCATCTTGTATGTTGTGATCATTTCCCCTCTAGGGTTGTGAGATTTAGTTCCATTAGCCGATCTTCGTAGTAACCATCGTAGCTCTGGCACCAATCTTGTTGCAAATCTTTGTACCTCATAATTTTTGGTATGTATTATGCTCCTATGCCCCTGTTACCTAGCAGTAAAGTAGGTACCTGGGTGTTAGTCAGCTGTCACGGGCTTCTTCCTGGGGGTTGAGGCCTGGTCGAGGACCGGGCCGCGGGGACACTAAAAAGCCCCGAAATCATCTCAAGATAACCTCAAGATAAGTGTCCCTTTTGTGGGCGTATGTGGCAGCATCTGCAAGCCCAGGTGTTGGAGAATAGCAACTGTAGTTGATGCAACAATGTTGGAGTAATTGCCAGCGTCAACAATCCTACGAGATGTTGTGCCGTCAACCCTCATGGTATGAGGTGGAGGTTTATGAGGGCGGAGTCTTCATGAGTTGTCAGAGCGTGTTCCAGTCTTCTGTTGTGACTTGCAAGTACATTTGACTAGTGCATACAAATGGTGAGTGATCCTCCGGCAGCCTTGGGACCTGCGGGTTGCATTGTTGCTTGCCTATTGATCTGTGTAAGCAAAATCGTTGTCAAATAGCCTCAAACTGCTTAGCAACATTTTAAAACTATATTTTTGGCTTTTAAATTGAGCGTAAACATAATTTTTCTAGTTGCAATTTTGTAAGTAATTTATACAATAATACGTTGTATTAGTGGCTTGGAATGTATGTTAAATGTAGTCATTTTCACCGTTCATTATGGTGCGCCTGCGCAGTACTCTTGTCAATATCATCCCTTTATATAGGCGAATAATTATCATGCACAACCCAGCACCGCCTTGGCATGATGGCATCTCTGACCAGGGGAGAGGCTGCGTCTTGTAGGTTACTAGGTGGAGAAGCAAGACCAGAGAGGCTGCGTCTTGTAGGTTACTAGGTGGAGAAGCAAGACCAGAGAGGCTGCGTCTTGTAGGTTACTAGGCGGAGAAGCAAGACCAGAGAGGCTGCGTCTTGTAGGTTACTAGGTGGAGAAGCAAGACCAGAGAGGCTGCGTCTTGTAGGTTACTAGGTGGAGAAGCAAGACCAGAGAGGCTGCGTCTTGTAGGTTACTAGGTGGAGAAGCAAGATCAGAGAGGCTGCGTCTTGTAGGTTACTAGAGAAGCAAGACCAGAGAGGCTGCGTCTTGTAGGTTACGTAGGTTACTAGGTGGAGAAGCAAGACCAGAGAGGCTGCGTCTTGTAGGTTACTAGGTGGAGAAGCAAGATCAGAGAGGCTGCGTCTTGTAGGTTACCAGTCACTGACCAACCCACTCCAGAGAATGGTCAATATATCTTGCCACAGAAATTAACTAAGGCAGTGGAATTATATACAGATTTTCAGAGAGCTGACTTTGAAAGCAGATAGTAGTAACACTCAGAAAATAATGTGATATTCAAATGAATGTTTTAACTGCTGAATAAAATAGATTTGATATTAGATTCCTGAATACATTGCATGGTTGGCATCTCGGAGCATGATACTGTTGACATGCTTGCAAAGACAGCTTGTAGCAGACCAGTAGTAGAAAATAATATAGGTGGTTCATAAGCAGTGGCAAAGAGAATATCCCCAAAACCCTAAAGCTGTGCCATGAGACATTGTGATGGATGCCATGTGGAGACTTGTATATGGAACTAGCAGAGTTAGTTCCATATACAAGTTATATATAGTTGAGCAAGAGTTGGGCAGTGTCATCTTAGAGTGGTCAGAATAGGCCTGGGATGCTGATGTATTTAATAGCTTTCTCAGAACGGTCGAATACGTCATGTGTCATTTTTTTTAAGGAGATAACTTGCATTTCATTAAAGACTATTTTGTGGCATATCCCATATTGACTAACTTTCGACATCCTGGGTTGGGATATTCTGAACTCTGTAAATACTACCTGAATACTGGAACACTTGATATACTAGACCTGTACCCAGGATTTACTGTGCAATGCAACACTTGTGTTATATTGTAACTTATCATATAACTTGAGCTGTAAAAATACTTGTAATCACCTTCTGTAGTTGAGTGCTCAGTAACTCGCTATGTAGGAGAACAGATCTCTAATCCTGTCTGTGTAGGACAGACGACAATTTTGATATGTTGGTTATCACTGTAAAAGTACTTCAGTCATCTTCTGTGTTGCAATGGCCTAGAACTCACTAAGTACTGAACCAGCTCTACTGTACGGGGGAGTACACTCTACACTCTGTACACTTACCTAACAGTGTCTTGTCTTGTTGTACCCGTTGGATTGCAACTTCTTTCTTTCAGTGCATTCCACTTTTGACTATTTGTACAGGGTACGTGTATTTCATTACGTGTTCGGAAAAAGGTCATTTGTGTTTCCACTTGTGTCCTCTTGTCATACTGTCTCTCAGTTCGGATAGGCAATCCTCACCTTGTGTATTCTTCTAAGTATCGTGTATGTTGTGATCATGTCCCCTCTGTTCTCTAGGGTTGTGAGATTTTTTTTCATTAACCTGTCTTTGGTGCGTAACCCTCTCAGTTCTGGCACCAGTCTTGTTGCAAACCTTTGTACTTTTTCAGTTTGGGTATTATGTATTATTAATGGTGTGGATTCCATTCCGGTACTGCATATTCCAGTATTGGTTGAGTAAATGTTGTGTAGATTACCTTACCTTGAGGTGGTTTCGGGGCTTAGCGTCCCCGCGGCCCGGTCGTCGACCAGGCCTCCTGGTTGCTGGACTGGTCAACCAGGCTGTTGGACGCGGTTGCTCGCAGCAACCTGACGGAGCCTGACCTTGAAGGAGTCCAGATTTAGATTTCTAAACAATGTTCTTATATTTGCTAGCATCCCATTTGCTGCTGATGTTATCCTGTTTGTGTGATAATGGAATACTTGCCAGTGACACTGGGCTCTAATACCTTCTGTTTATCCCCCTTTTATTGAATATTGGGAACATGTTTGATCTTTTCCAGACGTCTGGGAAATTACCTGTTTTAGGCGTTTTATTGAAAATTCCAGTTGACGGTGAGTAAAGAATCTCTACAGTCTCCTTCAGGAGCCATGGTGATATTACGTGTGGTGGTTGTGGATGAGGGTGGTGGTAGTGGTGGATGAGGGTGGTGGTAGTGGTGGATGAGGGTGGTGGTGGTGGTGGATGAGGGTGGTGGTAGCGGTGGATGAGGGTGGTGGTAGCGGTGGATGAAGGTGGTGGTGGGTGTGGAGATGCGTGAGCGCGTCGACCAGAGCGCTGTCAGTGTGGCTGTAACCGCCAACCGGTGAGCACGGGCGACGCTCTGCAGGTGCCGATGTGCGCGTCTCGCTCTCCCGCCTGGCGCTCTCTGGCGGCCCTCGAGTCGCCCTTATCCCGCCATGCCTTACTCCTCTAACCATTACCCGTCGTAATATAAAGAAAATTACAGAAACTAAAGTTATGATACGAGGCATATATATATATGCGGTGACGACTATTGTTATGTGGTTGGTTTCCTGTGATTACCATGTGTGTTGTGTGTGTGTAAGAACCTTGGGTGTATGTGTGTGTGTGTCCTGGCCGCGTGTCAGTCATGGTGTGTGTGTACGTACACAAGTACCACATCCTGGCCTACACACACTCAATGAACGTGCTGCCAGTGCTTATGATAGCTCCTGCTATCATAGCTTATCGTTGTATCTATGATTACTGTGCAGATATAGTCTCCTCTCTAAGACTATATATTCGTCAATATCTGATATCCTTGTGCTATCTGTGTTCCATTGTTTGTAAAAGAGAGAGAGCTAACGTTGACTATATCGAGACACTGAGGCTTATCCGCCTCTTGATTATCATAATCTACAGCAAGTGTGAAAACGGGAACGATTTGATAAGACTCCAGAACGTACCGAAACGTTGGCATCTTCACCCGTGTGTCGTGCTAAACCAGTTGTATGTGAACTCAAGAGTTGTGTGGAGGAGAATGTTTGCCAGGTATGGTGAAGCAACAGGTAAGGCGCCGCTAGTGATCCCTGGACCAAGGAATACTGTGCACATTGTCGTGGACGCCGCGTCAGGTCTCTGGGGTTACAACTTGGGCTGCAGAGACTAGGATGAAAATACACTGATGGTGATTACAGGTGATGTATAGTTGCGGGTGTTGGAGGAGGAGCTGTGGCAGGTGTCGCCATGGTAACATTCTCTTGTCAAGGACCATTGTGTCGTGTTGTGGGGCTGGTCCGTTGTGGCCAGTGTTGTGGGGCTGGTCCGTTGTGGCCAGTGTTGTGGGGCTGGTCCGTTGAGACCAGTCGTCCGTTGCAGGCTGGCGGCCACAAATCAGTACGTGCCCGCCCCGACCCCGCTATAGTGGTGTGTACGCCCGCCTGTACTCTTGGGGGTAACCAACTCTTCGCTACAGAGCTGCTCTGGGCTGCTGCTCTCCTGCGACGACTCCGCCCCAACAGTTGACCAGCAAATGTAGCAATCAACCTTTAGATTAAATTATTTATTTCGCCTTTCATTGATGGTTGTGAAGCCATAAGGGCGCTGGTTAACGTGTACGAATTGTCGCGCTCTCTGGTGGGAATTGTTTACTCACGTGAGAACTTTGAATAATAATGAAATTATTGTTCTAGTCATTTTATCATTTAATCTTAAATTCATTTTATCCTAGTCTTGTCGCAGGTAAATTACAGGTAGCTGTTAATGAGGTGTTAAAATGCTGCTTGGAGACAGTCCACGCAAACATGTTTTCTTGTGTATTCACCTAGTTGTGCTTGCGGGGGTTGAGCTCTGGCTCTTTGGTCCCGCCTCTCGACTGTCGAACAACTTGTGTACAGATTCCTGAGCCTACTGGGCTCTGTCATATCTACATTTGAAACTGTGTATGGAGTCAGCCTCCACCACATCACTGCCTAATGCATTCCATTTGTTAACTATTCTGACACTAAAAAAGTTCTTTCTAATGTCCCTGTGGCTTATTGGGATACTCAGTTTCCTCCTGTGTCCCCTTGTTCGCGTACTCCCCGTGTTAAACAGTTTATCCTTTTCAACCCTGTCAATTCCTCTGAGGATTTTGTAGGTTGTGATCATGTGTGTGTGTGTGTGTGTGTGTGTGTGTGTGTGTGTGTGTGTGTGTGTGTGTGTGTGTGTGTGTGTGTGTGTGTGTGTGTGTGTGTGTGTGTGTACTCACCTGATTGTGCATGCTGGGGTTAAGCTTCGCCTCTTTGGTCCCGCCTCTCAACTGTTACATAGGTTCTCCCGTATCACTAAAGTGCCTTTCCTGTCACTCCTATTTGTTGATTCTACTTATGCACTTGTCAGTGACGAATTATTGTGCCAAAGACTTTCTGACAATCCATAAATATGCAGTCTGCCCATCATTCTCTTTCATGTCTTTCTTTTGTCACTTGGTCATAGAATTATATTAAACCCATGAGGCAAGATTTGCCATCCCTGAACCTGAGCTGGAGGTGTGTTACAAGTGTTGTAACACACCTCCAGATGTTCTACTAATTTTGTCATTCAATCTACTCTATTACCCTGCATGATATACAAATTAAGGACGCTGCCTGTCGTTCAGTGCCTCTCGTATTTTCATTACATATTGGGACTACATTAGCTGTCTCCCAACTTTTTGGTAATTCTCCTGTTACCACCCACTTATTATACATCATGATGAGTGGCAAGCATATTGCTTCTGCTGCCTCTTTTAACGTCCATGGTGAGATCCCGTCTGGGCCAACAGCCCTAACAAAGATGTGACAGAATGTGACGAAGGTCACATCATTTTTTAACCATTCCAGCAGATGTTTCGTCACTTTACCACTGGTAATCTCATATTCCTCGAGTGGTGCCTGGTGCAATGTTTCCTCCTAGCTCAGGAACTTCTCTTTCCTCTTTTGTGAAAACTTGGAATTTACTGTTGAAGTCCTCGAACTCCTTATCAGTCTCATTGAACCTGTCTCCCCCTTATCTTATTGTCATTACCTGTTTCTTCAGCAGTTTTGGTTTGGTATTTTTTTATTTGCTGTCATTTTCTACTATCTGCTTCCCATCTCATACTGAGGCACTCATTCCTGGCCCTCTGGTGTCTTCCTCTGCTCCCTGGTTATTTATCAATGCCCGTGTGCATAGTTGCTGTGCCACCTGACATAATTGATTAAACCATAGGTTCCTACATTGCATTATTTTTCCTTTTTGACTGGAACAAACTTGTTAGTTGCTGCCTGACACTTCTAGGTGATGTAGTCCACAAGTCAAGCCTGGCTTCGGGCCGGGCTGAGAAGAAAATAAGTCTGAGAGTCTGTGAGAGAAGTCTGAGAGAAGAACTCCCAGAACCCCATCAAGCAGGTATCAAGATATTAAGATGTTAAGCATTGCCAAATGGATAACCTCCCATGTGTAATATTTTTCATATATAGAAGGTGAATGCAAGCAGTGTTGTGACACTTGCGTAAGTTATAATTACATGGTGCGCAGATCTGTAAAAGCAAATGTCAGATGTTTTCCCACTAAGGATTCATTAGAACATGTTGTGCCCTCTGTAATTCTTGCGCTACCGCTCGCAGGATGAATATGAGAGTGTACAGTAAACTATCACTCGCTGACACTGTGAGGGACGCACTGAGCACCTACACTGTGAGGGACGCACTGAGCACCTACACTGTGAGGGACGCACTGAGCACCTACACTGTGAGGGACGCACTGAGCACCTACACTGTGAGGGACGCACTGAGCACCTACACTGTGAGGGGACGCACTGAGCACCTACACTGTGAGGGACGCACTGAGCACCTACACTGTGAGGGGACGCACTGAGCACCTACACTGTGAGGGACGCACTGAGCACCTACACTGTGAAGGACGCACTGAGCACCTACACTGTGAGGGACGCACCCCGTGATGGGACGCAGCCAGTACCTGCTCTGTGAACGACTCGAACCCAAGGAGGTATTGATGTAGATATCGGCTGGGAAGACCATGTTTGGTGCGTCCGGTCATATAGGTCGTGAAGGGTCATTAAGCCATCAATTTATGGTGTGTACCTGCTCTAGTTGATGTTGTATGAGGCCCCGTCTGGTGTAGTACTCTGGTGGGTGCGAGGGAGTATGAGGACATGGGTCTGGTGAGGTACTCTCTCCGCACATCTCCTGCGCCAGGTGAGTAAGACGGGCTCACCATAGGCCGTGCTGCTTCGAACTTTTTGTTCCAAGCGGCTGAATCTAAAACAGCAACATGGGATACTGTAGGCGGTGATAGGCCCGTGCGAGACAGCCAATGAAAAACTACTTTTAAGGTACACAAAAGTAGAAATAGGCAATTTGATCAATTCCTGTAGGAATTACCAGAGCAACCGGGTTGTAGTGGATATGTGGGTCTGCGGGCCGCTCCAAGCAACAGCCCGCAGTTATCACAGGTCGAGGCTGGCCCCAGGCCGGGCTCGAGGAGTAGAAGCACTCCTGAAATCCCCTCGAGGTAAGACCCAGGTAAGATGTGGTGGCGCCTGCAGGGAAGCGAGGATCACAGCAGCCAGACGCCTCGTGCTCCAGCACACTGTGTAAGACGTGTGTGGTGGCTCGCTTGACGCAAGCCGCCACGTCACCCTGGCTCGCTTGACGCAAGCCGTCACGTCACCCTGGCTCGCTTGACGCAAGCCGTCACGTCACCCTGGCTCGCTTGACGCAAGCCGTCACGTCACCCTGGCTCGCTTGACGCAAGCCGTCACGTCACCCTGGCTCGCTTGACGCAAGCCGTCACGTCACCCTGGCTCGCTTGACGCAAGCCGTCACGTCACCCTGGCTCGCTTGACGCAAGCCGTCACGTCACCCTGGCTCGCTTGACGCAAGCCGTCACGTCACCCTGGCTCGCTTGACGCAAGCCGTCACGTCACCCTGGCTCGCTTGACGCAATGACGCAAGCCGTCACGTCACCCTGGCTCGCTTGACGCAAGCCGTCACGTCACCCTGGCTCGCTTGACGCAAGCCGTCACGTCACCCTGGCTCGCTTGACGCAAGCCGTCACGTCACCCTGGCTCGCTTGACGCAAGCCGTCACGTCACCCTGGCTCGCTTGACGCAAGCCGTCACGTCACCCTGGCTCGCTTGACGCAAGCCGTCACGTCACCCTGGCTCGCTTGACGCAAGCCGTCACGTCACCCTGGCTCGCTTGACGCAAGCCGTCACGTCACCCTGGCTCGCTTGACGCAAGCCGTCACGTCACCCTGGCTCGCTTGACGCAAGCCGTCACGTCACCCTGGCTCGCTTGACGCAAGCCGTCACGTCACCCTGGCTCGCTTGACGCAAGCCGTCACGTCACCCTGGCTCGCTTG